AGTGCAGGGCTTGATTAATATTTTCCACTGTTCTGTAACCATGGCAATAACGTCACTGCATATGATACTTAGCTGAATCTTCCCAGTGCTTTTGTGTGCATTTCCTGTGTCCGGACAATAAAAATCTTCCACTGATGACTCCAACTCCTTTCCTCTACTCCTTCCTCCTTCCATCTTCCTTTTTATTTTGTGCCCCATGAATTTATTCATTTGTTTCCTCTGCCTACTCTTTCTTATACTTCCTTTTTTCTTGGCCTTTCTCTGACCTAGTCTTCCTTGTTCTGTCATAGTGTTTTACTCATTTTTTCTCAAGCACTGTTCTCTTGCATGTCCTTCAGCAAGGAGCATGATAGTGTTGTTGTTGTTGTAGCCAAATTCACCTTTTTTTTGTTGCTTCTTCTGCCTTTTGTTTACAGCCACCTGCTGGAACAACACTTGATGACTTACTGCTCTTTAATGTCAGAGTAATTCACAGTAACCAGCTCCTCTTTCCGTGGCTTTTTTTGCCTCTCTGTATGTTGCTTACTCCTTTTCTTCACATGCAGCATTTGCATACTTAAATCAGTCTCAGGCACAATCGGAAATTGATTTCAAACAAGGCCGATGACTCAAGTGCTGAAACAAAAAGCCTGGCAGCCAGAAACTATGAAGTAAGACACTGACACAGGGTGCTCTCTGAGCAGGTGTTCTGATTAATGCCTAACAAAATGGGGTCCTCCAAGATCCGGACATAAGTGGGAGACATGTCCCCTCTTCACACGACACATGGACCAATACATAAACACATGCTGACTGAGTCTTTGTTCACGCAAGTATGGAGGCTAATCCATGACAAGAGAGGAGGCAGGTTCACAGGGAGAAAACACTGGAGTGGATAAAGAGTGGAGAGGTGAAGAGGTGGTGGTCTGTTTGGGGAGCTGGCTTTTTAAAATATCACATTAGACAGAAACAAAATACAACATTCTACATCATCATTGTTTGACTGCTGATTCAGCTGTAATGAAGTTTAATTTTCACACTTTTTTTCCCCCAGCTTTGTGCACATGTCTAGGACCATTAGGAATCACAGCTTTCAGGTCTTTACAGCAGAGTGTGGTGAATATTGTCACTATTAACTTCAACAATGCAAATAAATAAGTCATAAAGTTTTACAATCAATAACATATTTTTTGGTACTTGGCAGATCATTGCTCTGAAAGGTCAATTTTGTTAATGGTAATACGTACTGTAGTAGTCTGTAGGGAGTTTGTTCTAATAACAGTGTGACTATGATATTGAGGCCATGATTAGACTCAAATACAACAAAGAAAGATAGTATAAGAGACAAGATGAAAAAAATGTACACATCACATTTGACATATGCGCCATAAAATAACCATTAGCAGTTACCCACAAACTGAAGTGACAGTCTATCAATAATGTCACTCTGAAAATGGGACAGGTTTGTTGCTGTCTTTAAATCACCAGAGACTCCAGCAGAAAAGCATGCAGGTATAGGAAGTACATTAAGGCTTAATGTTAATGGGTATGGTGGGAGCAGTGGGACACGGGGACACAGGAGGGCATCACTCACCTCTGGTCATGGGTGCGGGACAGCTGTCTGCTCTGAGGCTTAGTCCTGGAAACAGCATCAACTGTGGCAAAATTCAGCAGTTGATATGATTCGATAAGCCTCTTATTTACAATCTGCTTAAATAGATAATTACAGCGCAAATATGTTTTCTTTTATTATGTAACACATTTTAATAAGCTGTAGGTATTTCTGGCGTCTGTCAAAATAATTAGACACATTTTTTTTGTAGTATCATGTTTTATTATCATAAAATATAAGAAAGTCACTTTCGGCTTTTCCTGTTTAGGGGGTCACCACAGCAAATCGTCACACTGACGACTCGCATGTTGACATTTGGCACCTGTATTACGCCGGATGCCCTTCCTGACGCAACCCTGATTCGAACCTGAGAACGCTGCGTCTTAACCACTAGCCTACCCGGGAAGGCCTTTATTGTCATAAAATATATTATGATTAAATACCTCAAATGCTCATTTTGCTTGTACTCTGAAAAGATAATCATGAATCATAGATAGGTGAGCTCTAAAATTGCATAAATTGTATTAATAAAAATTCAAGGTTTACCACCTCCAAACCCAACTCAACTAAACCTTATATGACCTCTTTAAACATGCACAAAACAAACTCTTGATATATGAGATATGCAAACAAGTGACAAACAGCAGCCCTCAGAGGAACATAGATAAACATACACACATGCCCTAATGGTGCATTAATATACAGTCAAACTTTGGTTTGCATATGAATGTACCTATTAATTAATGGGAAACGCACGCTGTGTCTGCTATCTTTGAAAGCCAAGAGCAGAGCACGAGTCTTTCCTACTGCCATGTATATTGAGGAGGCACGTGGCAGCTATATTGTGCCCATCTGCTCATCACACACACCCCTCAGCCGCCCCATTTATACCATGTGCTGGGCTAACAGGCAAGCATTGTTGCAACAAGTGTCTCCACATTACTACGTTTGCCAGCTCCCCTCACTTGGCAGTGAGCCTGATAAGCTGCCCACCCCCTTATGAGAAAAAGACTTGATTGTGCCACGGGGGAGAGCTCAGGGGGTAGACTGGGAAGAGAAATGAGGAGGGGGATTTGATTTACATACTGCAGCTTAGGCGACACTCATCTGATTTTAAACAGCTCCAAAGCAATTAAGGGTCATTAGTCCTTTTGTTTTCTGTTGTGGCACAATGTAGCATTGACGGCATGTGTGGTGAACTGCCCCCAGTGGGGGCTTCCTGTGGGAATGTCAGCACTATACAGGGTCTGTCTCCCACGCTTCTCCCCCATTCATGTCTCGTACTCTGCCATTGACACACTGTGTGTAAACAAACATTCAGCACCAGCCTGCCACTGCAAGGGAAGCCACTTTGGCAGCGACCCAGCTCTGGAGTGTGCAGCTGGTGACGGTGCAAGCTCAGAAGGCACAGGCTGCTTATCCTAATTATCCTGATCATGACAGCAATTTCTTTCATACAATATAATTTGTAAATTGGCAGCATTCAATTAAATTTGTTTCTGGCAATGACATAAATTCACACAGTAGCACAGTGTAAATTGCCTTCTGAATTTAACTCCTATATTGGTTTTGTTAGCTGTGCACCATGTTGCATTGTGGATGTGCTGTAAATCTGTTTGATGCGTTAAATAAATGTAATATCTAAATGCATATATGCAAAACTATTTAACACAAATAATGATTTTGTTTCTCAGCACAGATGCAGCAGTCATTTTTATTTTGATTGGTTTCTATTCACTGACTGTAGACTACTCCAACTAGCAAGTCAGAATATATAAACAGGAAATTATTCAAAAATATCTCCCCGAATATAATAGCATTCTAAAGAGTGGATGTGATCAGGCAGATATTTTAAATAAGATATAATACAGAGAATAACATTGCCTCAAGGTCAATCGCACAACTGTAATGAAAGCTGGAATGTATTCCTCAATATGTTTATGTCTGTATCTTCCATTACTCACCTAGCAGGCAGCAGAGTGTTAAGCACTCCTGCTACTGTGAAAAGGCATCAAAGGCAGCAAAAAGACAGGTATGGTATGGAATGTGAATGCTCATTTGTGTGGCTGTAAGACCATTCTCAGTTGGTATAGAAAAACACTTACTGCTAATGTAAATAGCAAGGCAGCATAAATCAGGAGCCACATGCAGCCTGGGAGAATATCGTGTAATAGTTATTGCGAAATGAAGTGGCATAGGGATCAATATCCCACTATATCTCACTCTGGCGTAATGGCGCAGAGGGAAGCTGGAGGCCACGGGTGTCCGGTCCCTCCACCCCACCCAGGGCCTATAAATCTGCCTGACCTGCAGCTCGCTTATTAAAGTGCATACACAATCAGCAGCAGCCATCCAAAAGTACAGGCTTACTTACTGACCTGGAGTCAGGGAATGTATCCCTTTACCTTGTCTAAGGGCAGGGGTTAAAGGCTGATTGAGGCTATAGCATCATCACACCACAGTGTACTCAGAAGCAGGGAAGTGTTAGTTTTAGTTCAGCATTAATAATACTAATATAATTTAAAATGAAGTTTGAATGTCAGCACCACAGGGGATACTGCAGATTAATTTCTCTTTCTGTTGTAGCAAACCCACTGTGTCATGTGTAGTTATATATTCTGTTTATTAATGAATTATTTGTCTGTCTGTCTTTTATTCATAGTATCTTGAGGCACAACTTTTCTTCTGCCAGTGTAAAGCTAGCAATTATGTTCTCTAAGCTGTGGCTTATTCACCACAATTAAACTATAGTGTGACATACGGCGAGGAGTCTGCAGTGCTGTCTGTAATTATTTAACAATAAATGAAAGGTGAAGGAATTATTTTCAAGGTTGATTTTTCCTCTCAAAAATGATCTTTCTGGCTTCAAGGTGGAAATTTATGACCACACAGCCACAGCTAGTGGGGGTTTGCCTTCGCAAGGTGATTAGCTTGGTCTTGTGTGTGTTATCTGTTCATTCTCAGACTTATACAAATATCTTGTACTTACTTTACAAGATAAACAGAAGAAGTAAAGCATATTTACATACCCTATATTCCAAATGCACTGTCCATAGTAGTGGTGACAAAGCTGTTCACTGTTAACTTCATAAAAAACAGCACATTGCCTGCAGAGAGAAATGAGTGCAAAGTCGCAATATAACGACAGTGGCTGTTTGTGATTTGCCAGATTATTCAGGTTTTATCCATTCATATGTACTGTAAGATTTCATGGTCAGCATAATACAGCCTTGGGGCTGACATTATTGGTCAGTAAGAAGGATGTTGCCAAAGGTTCTGAATAGTAATTGGAATAAACTATCATGAACAGTGAGTCCTGTGCTTCACTTCAGTTTTCTTTGAGATACTTGTTTGATGGATGTACAAACTGAAGACTGTGGAAAATGATACACATCTCTTTGTTTTACAGGGCTGCGAAGGAAGCCTTCTTCTGCTTCACAGTTGGTAAGTGTTTCCTCGAAATGTTCTTTTTTTCTCATTGTACAGTAGTTTCACCACATATTTGAAACTTTAGGGGAAGGACTTTCTTTTAGGAAAGTTAGTGTTTTATAGATTTAATCTCCAGACAAACTCAAGGCAAACTTCATTGGAGAAGAGCTATCAGATAAAGGGTTAGAGTTTAAATTATGAGAAAGGGTGTGCAAAAAAATCTTTACTAATACATCCATTACATCCACATATCCCATTCTTTCTAAACCATACTCTACTTTTGGGCAGCCTTTTTGGAACGAACCCTGTCCTTACTCAGTACAGTTTACAACCTCAAACACATCATGCCCGTCTTGAGTTTTATTTTAATCACTCTAAATAATTCTAATATGTGACTGGTCATAAACATGATGATGAATGAAAGTAAATATAGATATGACTTGTTCATTTTTCTTTTTAATTACATTATTTTCTCAGACTGTGAGTAATGAGTGTGTGTTAACATGTTAGAACAAGCTGAGAATCCAGTTAAAATAGTATATATATAATTTATATAGACCTGGTTGACAAACTCTACTTAAATTACTTACTCTAATTAAAAGAAGAAATAAATAATAACTGAATCATTTTTCCTAAGATGGCTTAGGTAAAAGAGGCAATCAAACATTCAAAAGGTCTAGATTTAGTTCTTCGCTTAAAATATAATAAAGTAAAATAAACATTTCAAACATATCAAAGTCAACATAAAAAATTATTTTGCATGACTGTATAGTATGATCAAATTGTATATCATTGAATCTTTTAATGTAACATAAGCAGGACATCAAAAATAAGCTTTAAATTCTAATAGTGACATCACAAATTAATATGAACTATGAAAGAAATTTGATACTGATGTATTATCAGTGAAGCCCCTCACAGGCTAAAGGTTGATTCATATGTTATGCTTTAATGAGAACTTGTTTATTCATTATTTATATACATATTCAGCATTTGAAATTTTCTATGCTGAAGGTTTTAGTGTATCTGGATCTGTTTTAAACTGATAATTGTATAAATACAAGTGGTTTTTATAAGATAGTTTGACGATGACAGTTCAAGCCATCTTTCCTTGTTTGTATTGAAAAGACGTACAAATCAACACATTTTGCAGTTTTATTTTGTTTATTTTAAGAATCTATTCAAGTGTAATTTTATAGCTGTGAAGTACACTTATATTATTACACTTACATGCTCATCTGTTTGATTGCACACACTGGTTCTCTATAGATGTGTACACACACATATAACTGGATCACAGTAATTATCAGAATCTTCATTTGCTTCCTGCTGTTTAGTGAACTTGACCTATCATGACCCTTCTCACTCGCAAAGCCACACAGTAATCATCTCTTCTTTAACCTATCACTGCCCTGACCTTTGACCTAGAGGTGTTATTAGTTTCAGGAACAAAGGATAGTCTGGTTGTGTACGTTAGAACGCAGTCTGGTTTTCAGGTTGAATTTAAAAAGAAAGACTTATACTGGAATTGGCCCGGGTCAAACCAAACTGCCCTACAAAAGCTGTCTGTACTACAGGTGATACTGTTGACAAGATCTGATGTAATGATGTAAATGAGCAGCACAGACTGACCTTTGCCCTCTCTGTGTGAAGATCTGTGACCAGTGGTTGACCTGTAATCAATAGAGAGACATATTGATCTGTTCGGTCTTCTAGCAAAAGGGTCAAGAGCCTGAATGTGTCTCCAGGTAGAGTGGCTTTACCATTACTGGGGCTCCTTTTGTTTTTCCTCCACCTGTAGTCATGTGCCGCAGTACATGTGGATCGGGCTTCTGTTTCAACTCCTGGACGTCCTGGGCTTCATACGCCTGCTCCCACATCACTTGCTTCACTATGTTAACATGGACTTCAGTGAGGCTAAGTGTAAAAAAATGTAAAAATAACACATTAGAGATTATATGACAGGCTCAGAAAATAGCTTTTCTTCTGGTTTTCATTTTAAGACAGCACAAATTACTTTATGTAAAGCTTATGCCTGAGAGCTTTGGTAACCATGTAACCCCACCCCCTCACACCCTCTGGGAAAAAAAAACAACATGTCTGCAAGCTCCTTCCCAGATCCTCCACTGCACCTGGGTGCCTGCTGTCCTCTGGGTTATCCCAGAGAGGGCTGGCCAGCTCCCACATCTGGCCAGACAGAAGAACAGAGAAAACACTGAATTCTCCTGCCGACCACTAGCTCTCCCTCTTGAATAATGAAACCTCCCCTCTCACTCTCCCTCTCTCTCTCTTTTTCTTTCTCTCACTTGGATTCTTTTGGAGTGACCGGTGAAATAGCAACATCTGGAAGGAGCTGCAGTTTTCTTTCCTTGTATTTTTTGGGGGAGATCTAGGCCCCCGATAATCCGTCTCCTTTCTCATTAAAGGAGCTGAATAAACACAGGCCTCTTCCAGTTGTTCCTATGAATTTCCTCACCAGGCGTCAGGAGACCCAGGCAGGGGCTACTGGATCAAAGCAGCCGGCAGCCCCATGTGTGCTGAGAGTGAGAGTGTGTTCCGGGGTTGGGCCCATTACCTTACTCTTTGGGAGCCTTGGAGGCTCCTAGGTCACTAGCTGTCAGCTCTTTGGCCTAAGCTCAGTGAAGGAGGAGGAAGGGAGGCAAAGCAAAAGAAAAGATATGAAAAGACAGGAAAGAGTAACAAGGAAAACGATAGAATAGGAAGGGAAAAGAAAAGAACATTGACCAGAGGAGATCCACAGATATTATATGAGGCAAGATGACAAGACAGAACATGAGAGGACATGAGAAAAGTGGATGGAAACTGGCTTGTTGGTACATGAAAGAGACTTGTGAGGTTTTAGATAGTGTCGTGACAGTCTCTAGCTCTATATGTTTGACTTGTAGGACCTCATACATGACTCTTTTTCAGTTGTTGTTGAGGAAGCTTTTACACAGATCTGACCACTTGGGACTAATATGCTGTGAATCACTTCTAATGCAGAAAACTGTGCAAAACAAATTATATTTAAACACCTGTGTAAAACTGGTATTGCAATATTGTGAGCAGAGCAACCACGTCATCCAAATATATATGTGTGCCATTCGAATGCACTGACCCTGGTGTGACATTAATTTTCTAATTCCCTGCACTTCCTGGCAGTCAACTTAGAGGGGCAGTGGTTCGCTGGAAAAGTTTGCAGAGAAGGCAATTAAAGGCAGAAATCTAAGCAGGAGCAGCAACAACAGCAGCAGCAAAATGAACGGAGGCAGAAGCGAATGATGCCTTGCACTGTAATTGTTACTTACTTACTCAGAAAGTTGATAAAATTTATCAAATTGCACCCCTTGTGCACTCAAGAAAAAAATCACCAATATTAAATGGCCAATGTAATTAACTTACCTGGCTACTGGCTGCATGACGGGTGCAGATGTGGCTGGAAATGACCAGAGTGTTTATGTTTGTATATGTGCACTGTGTGTGTGTGTGTGTGTAAATGGCCCTGTGGTCGTCATCAGGCTCACATCAGCCCCTCCATTAGTTACTGAGCTTTGGGTCTGTGCTGAAGTCTACCTGCCCTGAATACAGATTAGGAGAACATGGGCAGCAAGCACAATGAAGACAAACACACACACACACACACACTCACACACACACACACACACACACACACACACACACACGCAAGCACACTCACAAAAGATAGCATTACCATAATATCTACTTTGACATACAGTGACATATTTTGACACACACACACTCGTAATCAAAATAATTGCATTTCACACATCTAAGTGACTGAAATGTTGCATCATATTCATGGAATAATAGTAAAATCATTAAAAACATTTTCGTACAGTGTATTTCTTCTGGCTGATAAAAGCATGCATGTCTGGTTGCTCCTTATCACCGGACACTGACACACCGAAGCCTGTGGAGAGCACTTCATCTGGTGCAGGCAGATCATAGCTTACACATTCTGAAATAACCTCACACACAGTAGAGTACACACACTGGCAGCCCAGCACAAAGACAAATATGGTCGCATACTTCTCTTGTCCTTCTGGAGCCGCAGACTCACATGCTCGTGACAGGAAATATGCAGGCAGTCATTAAACCAAGCCAAGCAAACACGCAGCCGCCACGCTCACTAATAATGTTTTCACATGTGCCGCTGCTATGTTGGAGGCAAAGGCACGAATGTGTATGTGTGTACAGATACACAAACAGTCTGAAAATATAGTGATAAAATGTATGTGGCAGAATATCCATGTAAAGGGATTGATTGAAATAAAACCATGTCAACATGAGGGTTTAACTCACTTCATTTTATGAGAAATTTAAAGTTACTGTCATCTTTCCTGCAGAAAAACAAAACAATTAATTTTGGTTTTATTGGCTTTACTTGGCTTTGGTTAATATTTCAAAACTGCAGATGACTGTAACATATTATACTTTTTCAGAGATTTTATTTTAATAATTAGAAACCTAAGTCAGATAAAACATTAAAACAGACTCAGTGACCATGTTTTTCAGATGTTTTCACCTGTGAACTTAGGATGGAGGAAGAATGTGCCGCTATGGAAACCTCATCAGTAATGATGCTTATGTTTGCCAGGAAAAAAAAAAGAAGTCTGTGTCCAGGTTAAGTTCAAGGCAATGCCTCGGAGTTCAAACTCCAGGGCACGAGGACTGGGGGAAGGGGAGACGGTGTGTGATGGCTTCTGTGCGTCCCCTGGCAGCGCAATGGGACCCTTGGGACACCTGGGTCAGGAGGCTACCCTCCAGCCCCCCTACATTACCGTGCCATTTAAAGCCTCCCAGCATCTATTTCCTCCAATAAAAACTAATAACCTTTTCTGTCGGAAATCACAGCAGCTCTTGAGTGCTGGAGCAAAGGCCTGGCTGGATGGCCTGTAATTGCGGTCCAGAAGTCCCCCTTTAGTTTATTTTTTGCAGTGTTTTGGATTAGATTTTTTCCCCAGTCCTCTTGGTCCTCTGCGCTTTGCGGCTGA